GACAATTGAGGGAAAGGACACTGCATGTTCCCCATCACTTCTTGCACAGACCCTGGCACGTTTAGTTACTAAAGTAATTTCACTGCAGGCTTTGCTCTCTTTTGGGTGAAAGTACTGCCAGTAACCAAGGCATGTGCAATAATTCAAAGTTTCCTGGTGTTTTTATCTCCATTTCTACAGGCATCTATGCGTTCATGTTACTGAGGCACTCGGAGAATTCCACAAACGTCTGCCAAAAGCCAACAATTTCACAAAGGTTAAAAATGGATGCTGAAAAGGAAATGCAGACAGGCAAGCAGGTGGACAGAGATGGAAGAAGACACGGAAATCAAAAAGATGGAATTAAAAGGACAGAGATGGAGGAAAAGGCAGACAAAAGAGAAAGCTTCATTGGTGATCTTAAGTGAAAAATATCCCTTCTCAAAGGAATTTCAAAAAGCAGTGAATTCTCTGAAGGAAGTGAGTATGACAGTGTGCCAGATGTGAGTGGGTCCTTCAAACTAAAAACACAGTGAAAATTAATTCTGTCCTTTAAAGGAGAAAAAAGGTAAAGAAGTCAATTTGGAAAGCAAAAGCCCAAACCCAGACCCGTTTCATTAACAACTCTCACTGCATGTCGTGAAACATGTGGCCATACTGATTAGATTTCTCTGGTGTTGCTCAGCAACAAACACCACAACCCTTGTGGCCACACTAACCTCTAAAACATAGTTTGGAAAGACCATTGCACCTTCCTATAACCCCTTTGTAAGTGGATAGAAATGTGATTAATGTTTGTCAGCAGACTGAGGCCAGATGATCTTTTAGTCTACTGGGATGAGCCCAGCAATCACAGCTAAAGCAACAGGGCACAACTGTATGCTTCAGCCAGACTTGGCACCCAGACAGGGCACACCAGATTAAGATTTGCATCAGCCAGGGAAAAACTGCTTCTCGTCTTGACGCAGTGTTGATTTGAAATTCTTCAGTAAGAAATTAAAATCCAGTGGGGAGCAGCTTTTGTGTGGTAATTTTTGTATTAACGCTAGCTAGAGTATGAGGTTATCCAGTTGCAGTTGCATTTATTAAGCAACACAACATGGACATGTGTGTGTTGTGTAAGCTAGTGCTACAGGCTTTACTGCATGATCATTTCCCTAGGACAGAGAATAACAAATGAAATACAACGGTGACCTTAAGGAACAGATCCGAGTAAGGGTACTGCCTGCAATTGTAATTTAATATTAATACTGCAATCATGTTTAGTGGCATACAGAAATGGAAGAGCTTGCTTTTTTCTTAATCAAAGTGACAAACTGGGATTTTCTGCAAAGTCTGTCTCTCCTCAATATATAACTAAATACCATCAAAGAGCAGATACACTCCCCACCCACACACCACTCTGTGATGTCTGCAAAACCAATCTGAATTGTTGAAGCTCTGACATAATTTATCTTGCGACTTTGACAACACCAATTTGAGCCCCGGTAATCCTGAGAGGATTTGTCTTTTTATCTCTACATGACCAACATTCTTTACCAGCTCAGCCCCCTGTCTGTCCAAGCCTTGCACAGCCCTAAGACTCTAACTTCAGCTGCCTCTCTTAAAGACCAGAGGCAAGGAGACTCAGGAAATGTTATTAAAAGAAAACTTTGCGATACAAAGGTTCAATTCAAAAGTATCCAGTATCCTTAAAAGCAATATAATGTACAGTATGGGATGATGGCAAGTCAGGTTTAAGAATGGCACTTTCTGAAATTTGGACCCTGTCAGGATATAATGCAAGGGTTAGCACTTCACCCCGATTCTTACCCAGTGAAACCGAGTCTTTCCTATTGCCATGGACTGAAGCACTACCAGGTCAAAGTGCACCTCGAGAGAGACATGCATCAGAGACATGGATGGCAGCTATCACAGGGTGACAGCTCCAGATTAAAATCCTTTTCATGCACCTGTTCTTGAATGCCTCCATTATGTTTCTGTTTGAGCTGATCTTCTTTATTTTATTTTTGCATATGAAAGAGGGACTGCTGCCAAAAGGCAGTTTATAAAACCGGTAAAAAAACTTGCAAATAAGAATATTTCGATACAAGAAAGAAAGTGCATTCGTAATAGATGGTGTCAGAATCGCCTAGTGTCAAAGTGGATTTTGAATTCTAAACTTAAGGGAGTCTGTGTCAGAGTTCATTGTTTTTCAAATTAAAATCTGTGTCCTAAAAGGAAACAATTATTTTTGCTTGATTCAATTAAAGTGATGCTAATTTTATCTGAATTAAATTAAGAAACCACAAATGATATGCTAATCAAACAGAAATAAATACTTTGTATTTGCTCCACTAAGTGCTTGAGACTTAGAACTTTTCCTCTAGCTGCGGCTGACATATATTCATAGTTAAGAAATAAAACGTGGAAATTAGCAGGGCAAATGGCAACACACAGATCTTCACAAACGCCTCCTGGTTCTCAGTCCTTTTTAGAAAAAGGATCTTCCTTCAGGCTACATTTGTGTATAAACACAGTAAACGTCTTTCATTGGACTGAGTTTAGTAATCGGATTAAGGATACTCTCTATAGTTTATTTTTACTACCAAAGAAAAAAATTAAGAAAAGTTTTTGACCAAAAAACAAAGACATCAGTTAACTTTCAAACCCTAATTCTGAAGCCAGATGGACCCTAGTGTTTTAATATAGCGTAACCCAAGAAAAGAAAACTCATAGACACTCCATCTCTACCTTGGCTGGCTAGTGACACTCCAGGAGTTGCTGACACCTTAACTAATAAATACAATAAATTAATTATTCTGTTTATGATATTAATATGTGATTAATTAGATTAGAAAGAAGTTAATCAGCCCCTGAATAACATGTGACATTCTGTCTGTTGAATGAGTGAAAGAAAAGAGTTGGGGTTTACTTGTTTGTTTTAAATACTCAGAGATTTTAGAGCTGAGTCAATTGGATAAATATTTAAACAAGCCATTGCTACACAAAGAAGAAAAAATCAACACCTAACAACACAACCGATAAAGCAGTGAGGTTATCATAAGATTCTAGTTTTAAGGTACTTGGTTGTAATTCAATTTGTTTCAGTTCAATTTATACTAGTATCGTGAATTTTAAAATCCATGTTTATATAACAGGGGGACTAGTCACCATTCAGTCCACTTAACGCCACAGAAACCAGAATAAGCTCTTGCCCAGTGATCCCCTGTGGCTCACATATTGAAATGAGTTACCGTACACTAACATAACATTTGGCTTCATTGTTTAATTGCTAGATACAGTGGTTTCACAGATAGACACGTCATGTGAGGCTCAGACACAGAAATAAGAGACATAAGTCTTATTATAAATAAATACGTCTTGGCTAAGAAACTGCTGGGTACACCAGTCTGACCTCTGTTTTCTTAGACTGGAATAGCAAAAAGACACTGAAGCTGACCGGGCTAACTGTAGATGAGTGGTCTCTCTGAAGGAGGCTCCTGTAAACTCAGAGACTGGCAAAGCTGTGTTCAGTAGCTCCACCATAGGACCTTGTTGAACAATAAGGTCAAATGATGTCCATCACATGTTTTTATGAGGATGTTTGAAGAATGTGTAAGTGTGCATTATAGGAAATGAACATAGAAAAGATTATTGCAAACCCGCTGAAACTAGTTAAAACACTGCAAAACAGGCCTCAAATACTGAAAAATCCAACAAAGCACAGATATAAATGAATACTAATGATACATTTAAAAAGACGTTAGCAGTGTTAGAAAAAAAAACTGTTTTGAGAAGAAATTAAGTTTCAGCACCCCCACGGAGAAGCAAAGACTCATCCTGGGAGGTTTATTCTTTATTACACCAACACTAAACTGATCAGTACAAAACTGACCTGCTCCGCAAATAGACCAAGGAGTTCCTAACATTTACAGATCAGAATTCTGAGGCGTACACAGTCCAGCCAGCTGCTCCTCCTATCTCCCTGTCTCCTGTGCCCCTTTTCAGCACTAAACACCTTTTTCATTATTCACATCAGAACATTCAAACAAGCTCATCAGATTAAGTCTGTTGAAGCAGCTTCTCTGTTTCATTCTACATAAATGCAGCATCTATTTGTTTCTATGTCTTTGGTGTATGTGTAGCAAAGCAGGGGTTGGAAACATGAATGGATTCCCCAGAGGTGGGGGCATCTCATTTAGGAGAGCCACATTCTTCAGATTCTCACAGGAAAGTCACTAAATGGGCGGTACCTGGAGACTCTAGCTCCCGATAAAAGCAGTTCTTAAGACAGTCAGAGTCTTTTCACAGACCCTAAAGATTTAAGAAGGCTGTGAGTATTCAAGAAGACAATTCAGAGATAAAGGTTTTTGATAAAAGCACTACAAATCAGAGAAGATTTATAGTGGGATAAAACTGGTAGCAGCCTTGGTCGTGTTTCCGGGTCGGGACATTTTCCGGGTTCGGAAGATATAATTAGGGTTCATGTGGACCCCTGCCCATCCCTGTGCACCCTTGCCACGCTATCGAAAAGGGTGATCTTTCACAATGTGTTAGGTTTATGTGAAAAAAATTAAAGATGTTAATCTTCCCTGTGAATTTGACGAGACCTTCCCTTTGGCAACAGAGGCCTCTAATAGCAGACAAAGTAACACAAGGTAAACCTGATATGTCTATTCCCCCTTAATGAGCAATTAAGATACCTTCCCTTGATCGTTATGAGTATTTGTGTGTGATATGTGAAATAGTTTTGTTCATTTTTCAATACTAGAAGGGTTTATGTGGATGCTGTTAAAAAGTAATTGTGAGACTTAAGAGACATTCTGACCATGAGTATAAACCTCATTATCATTATGCCTTCCACTAAATGTCTATTTGTCAACTTCACACATCCAGACAATATCAAAATATTCGCTACATTTTTCACAGTAAATAGATTAATACTTGATATGTTTTTAGTCTTCTAAATGTTAATACTGCTGCCTCCTGCTGCTTCCTGCAGTCTTTAATAGACAGCCTTTAAACCCTAAACAACTTACCTCAATATGAATTTGTCTACAGCAGATCCACTAGACACAAAGACAGAAAAAGTAGCGATATCGGTCTTTTTAAGGGGCTTTGAAGATGTCTGTATAACAATGGCTTCACCAAGCTTGAGCTGGGTGAGGTAAGCTTCACTCTGAGGCACTTGAAAGAGACGAACACTGCCAATCCTCTGCATAGGAGTAACGGAGCCATCGTCCGACTCATATTGCTCTGTTCTGCCCCATTTTTTAACATCTTCACTGCTACACCCTCCGTTTGCATTGGGCCGTGCTGTATAATAAAGCTCCACTGAATTCCCTTCTGACTGATCAGGTCTTTCCCGAGTTGTCGTCTCACTTGCTGGACTAAACCAGGATAAAACAGGCTCCAGTTCTGCCACACAGATCCCAAGGTCCCCTTTAATTGAACAAGAACTTCGGACCTCTTGGGTCTGCCAAAAGGCATAAACAATGACACAAGGCAAGTCATCCATGGCACCTTCAGTGCCTTGGGCCTCCCAGTCTCTTCCCGAGATATAAAATAAAATCCGCATTTTCGGCGTGGAAGAATACACCTTCTGGGTAAGGATGTACGACTGGATCTTCCAATCGAAGGTGAACTTGGTGGAGGTGCGGAACAGGTCTGCAGTCTGCATGAAGTGGAGAGGGACAGTTTGTTCCACAGACAGGGGTCCATAGCTGGCACTGATGACAGGTGGCTGACTGGTCTTGAGTATCACAAAGGGCTCTGTGTGGATCTGCATGCTAGAGTTCCTCATGATATCCTGACTGATTTCCTTGAGGAAAAAAAAAGAATTGGCATTGGTGATCTGGTAGCTGACAGGCAGGTTCACAGGGAAGGATGAAGGGCTCTTCATGCTGTCAGAAAGCTCTCGACTCTCAAACTCTACAATTAAAAGAGAAAAACAACTTTTAAAGAGCACCTCACATCATCTTCTTCACATTATTCCTAAACGTAACTCAGTACCCACAGAAAATGGATACATTTACTACTTAACATGATTGCACACAAATTTTGTTAAGGCAGGTAATTGCTGTCGTAGTGCAGTACACAAGCAAATTTTACTGAAGTGCCTGCAATTTAGCGAGAGATTAGTGGTTCATATGGGATGTTACGGTGCATTTCTAAGAGCTCCGTAGTTCTAATGTTTATACAGAATTTAGGTTTTTATTTTAAAAACTTCATGTAAATAACGTCAAAGATTCAAAAGCTCGACAACAGTGTGGATTTGTGAATGAAAGTTTCACTGCTATAAATCTTACATTTTTAGGGAACATTTTTTATTTTTATATCAAGGTAAAGGGAATGTACCTTACAAGGGGCCCAATTTACTAAACCATTGAGAGATAAATAACACTCTTAAAAGTTTCAAATAACCGTAATGTAGCACTCATACATTACAAAAGCAACAGAAACACACTACTTACAGTATCCATGCTAAGCACGGTTGAACCCCTTCAGACAAAAGCTTTAATTTTTCAATAGACAATTCACATAATTTCTTTTAAAATTATCAGCTCTTCTGATCAATACATTACTCTGAATAAACCACGATTAGACATACTCATTATACAATGTAGAATTCAAAAAGGTCTCATTTGATATGTGGATAAGACAAATTATTCCCAGAGAAATGAGAGTGAGATTTACCCCCTTATTTCTGTGCTCGGGAAGTAATTTTTAAAATTAGTTTATAAAAGCAGGAGGATGAGAAACACGTTTCTCATTAAAGTAAAAGGGCATCACTGACCTATTATTTAATCAGAATTTTATCCATAACAGTATTGACTTGCCTTTGGTAATATTAATGACATCAAGTAGAAATTGACGTCAGAGCAAATAATATAATGTAATTTTAAGCCAAACAATGAGTATTAGCAATAGCAAACGTTATTTGTTACTGGTTAAAATCATCACTGCTTAGATTTAATTGGGTTTCGTTAAAAAATTAAGAATATTTCTGACAGCTAACACATAGCTTAATTAAAATTTCAAAAGGTTTAAGGGTATATTTTAAGATCATTTCCAAGACCCACCAAGTTTAATGGACTTTACAATATTCCTGGTCTCTTATTTCCTCTTTCCATGACATAAACGTTTCATGACTCCATATACAGTAGCTACACTCCCTCCTGCTTGGTCAGGCTGTGGTTGTCCAACCTCAAAGGCACAAATAATCTCCAACTCAACAGCACTGATTTAGGCAGAAAATGAAACATATTAAATAAAATGTACAACCTTATTCCTCTCACAATGAGCTGCACCATGGTTCCATGTCCAAGCTGCTCATAACCTTGACAAAAAATACTAATCCACAGGATTTTGAAACAGAGCATCCAGCCCACTTATGTTCAGGTAATAAAATGTGCATTAAAAATCTGTAGCGCTCTTTGTCACACCCATTATACTCATGAGGAGGTTTGGTAGTACTGTTGCATATCCCCTTCACATGAACTGAGGACTCTCATAAATACTTATTGTTTACTCACCTATTACCTTTGACATTCTGGAAAGTAATGTTCTTTGTTTCCATACCTTTATATTTATATTTTAGGCATTGTAAAGAAGTATTATTAATTTAATTAATGTTTTAGCTGAGTGTAGATGTACAACAGCTGAGACAAAACACAACGTTATCACAATCTGTTTGTTCCACCATTTTGTTTCAAATTACAGAGCCCAGTCAGCCCTGGTTTAAATGGAGGCTTACCTGTCCATCAAGAGGAACCAGGGGTGGAGCTTAGGGTCATTTACCTGGCACTCATGGTGTAGCAAGTTAGTTTTGCTCTCTATACACTTGTCCATGTTATTACACAACTGAGATTTTGTAGGCCTGTTTTGGAAGACAGCAAGTAGAAAACTTCCTGTGTGAGACTGAAGTATGTTATTTTGTTTAAGTTGAATACTTTGTCTTTCTCTTTTGTAAATATTATTTTTCATTGCAGGAGAGGTGGCATGGTGGCACAATAGTTGTTTTTCAGTGCTGAAGTACTGTACAGTATGTTGTACCCTTGTTTGCAAGTTTGTTGTGTGGAACAAACTACCCAGCCATATTGTTGAAGCCAATACCCATGCTTCTTTCAACCAATAACTAGATAAGATCCTTGGATCAATTAAGATCCTTGGATACTGGGCCAAACAGCCTCCTCTCTTCCAGCCAATCCTAATTTCTTAGTTGTTGCATTGGACAGGTGACTCATTACCGTACAGGGTTCGCTGATCAGGTAGTTGGCTAAGAATGTCAGCTAAACCTAGATATATTCACCCTGTTGTGTGCTAGCTCTTTACACGTTTAAGCAGAGCTGGTTATTATAATGCCCAATCACCAAGTCACAGAAGATCACAGTTTTCAGACAGACCCTCTATTTCTCTGAGAGGTGGTATTTTCAGAGGCATGTCTGTCAAATTAGTCACCAGTGGCCATAGGGAGAGCAAACAACTGAGACGCCCAGTATGCGGGCAGACAGGTCAGCTACAACGTGCGATGGGTCACTGAGGTGTAGTCATGCCTGGTAAGCATTCAGTCAGAACGAAACACTAGAGGCTTCTGCTGACAAGTCATTGCTCAAGTGCTCTACTTGGCATACTGTGTTAAACACAATGCACAATGATCTTCATAGACTTCTCTCTTCATGTACACTCACACGTACAGTACACTGTGACACATGGTTTAAATCTAAACATCTGCACATTTGCACAACGGCAGAAAACCTGTCCTTCTCACACAAAACCTCCGAACATCTCTCCTTCTTTATCTCATACTTACTGTAGCTCCAAGTCCCTAGAAATTCCATATCTTCCTTTCCTTCTAAAGATGTAAGGTTAAAGTGACAAACACATTCAATGTTCAGTTCAGCACTTTTTCTAGTTTGTCTTGCCAGTTCCTTGCATAGCACTTTGCCGATACATTCATAATCAGTTTTGTGGAGAGTTATTTTTAAAAAGGAATTAGTTACAAGTTTCATTTGCAAGGGATTACTTTTAACAATTGACAATGCATTTGGGGTAAAATTAAAAAAAAAATCTTAAAAATTACTTATGCACTGTGTATAGTTATTATGTAAAGTATTATGTAAATTAAATTTTAAAAAGAAATTTTCGTACTTATCTAAGTTTATCTCTTAACTCTCCTTACGTACCTAAAAAAGTAATCCCTTACATGTATAACTTGCAATTGTAAGGTTCATTTTTAAAAGCAACTGTCCCCAACACAGAATTCAACAGGGAAGTATTGATTATATATTGTATTCCAATAATTCAAACAGACAAGTACCATGGTGAATCATACTGTATGTATTAGACTAATCCATGACACAAAAATTAAACAGTATTCCATATTAATACAAGTATGTGCTTGCTAACACTTAAATTATCTTACAGCCTCAGAATTACTTTCTGAATTTATTTACTAACAGTTTCCTGTACTTTTATGTTGTCAAATTGATACAAACCATATTTATAAAGACACAGGTCTTATTCCAAGAGTTTCTTGTCATGGGAAAATGTTTACAATCCATTAATACTCTCTACTGTAAACAATTATTGTTTAGAAATGAAATTGTAGGTACGAAATTCAACACAGATTGTTTTTCAAAACATATGCTTCTGCCATAAGAAAGGAACAGCTGAGCATGACTTTTTGTGTCCCACTTCTCCTGAAATGTCACTGAAGAATGATCTCTGTTGTTCTAGGTTTTTAAGCCTTAGAATCAAGGTCTTGGTCCAAGGCCTTGTTATATCATTCTGGAGATACAGCAATAAAGATTTACAGCTTCTCTCAATGTAATTTAAAAGGCAGATGGAAAAAAAGCAATTTATTTTAAACATTTTCATTAATAATAAGGGCAAAGCATATTTTGTATACTTGCCAACTGTGCTGATATGGGTGAGATAGACCCAAAATTGTACCAGATGATGCACGTCTCATTTCAGAGGAAGAAAATCCCTTGAATATTATTGTTAGCATAAAATGTTCTGCCTGTGACTCAGAGATGCATTAATTATAGAGAGCAAGGAGACACAAGACAATGTTGATGGACACTACTACCATTAATACAAGGAAGATTAAAAGCCCTGCAGTCATATGACTACTGTACGTGTACTAGTACCTCCACCACTTTTTCTCAGTATGTAATCCACTTATTCAGCATCATTGGCCTTGTAAGCTCGTGAAAATTCTCTGTAACTGAATGATTAAACATGTTCAGGCAAAATGCCCCCATTTGTATTCAATCCTCTCTAAAAGCATCAGGAGTTTGTCTTTTGGAAATACAAGTGGACAGTAGCATTAGCTCAAGATCTGCAAGCTACCAAGAGCTCTCATTAACAGTTATATTCAGGCCCACAGATTACAGAGCTTGAAATGACACAGGTTGTAAATTCTGGCTGACTATAAGATACTTATTAGCTTAACAGAGAAAAAACAAATAAGAAACTAGGGTTTGGTCACATATGCATGTAAAAGAATAAAACCATAAATTAGCCTGTCACTCACCCTTGAGATGTAGTGCACCTTAAAATAAAACAACAACAACCCAGTATTCCTCAGTTCCTGATCCTCCTACTGCATTTACTTCAAGCAGCACAGCTTGATTTAATTCAGGTGCTTTTTCAGCTCATGGAGACCAGTTTGGCAATTGCAAATTCTTCTATTATGTAAAACAGAGACAGGTTAAGGCTAAAAGCATGTCAACAGTATTTGTATTACATTGTTTACAATTGTGTTACCTAATAGAGTTTGAAGTTGACGCAGAATGAATTTACTGTTCTCGATAAATGTCTTTGAATTTGGGTGTTAAGGTCTGCAAAAAGATATGGCTAAGACTGTAGAGGTTTATTTGGAATACATCAGTAGCAATGTGATGAGGATCCTCTCATTCGCTTCT